TGTCTGGGACACAAGAGCTGTGGCCAACACTAGACGAAGGGCCAAGCCTGCCATCATAAACAGAGTGGGCAATAGATTTCACCTTCCTGTCGCCTTGTTCAACCTAGAAATGGGGAGATCTACAATAGGAGGAGAGTAGAGTATTCAGAAGGGACTCCTCAAAAGGGTAAAGCACAGAAAACCGCTTCTGGACCAAAAAAAAAAGAGTGCTGCGGGAGTTCCCAATCCTTGTAAATAAAGCGATCAAAATGGGAAACACTTCGGTGCAAACTGGCTTGTGAAACCCAAAGGTCTCACAAGACACTTCCTCAGTAACCCCAGGATCCTCAGTCTTCAAGGTGTCCCACACTGCAGTAATTAGCGTAGCCATCAGCGCCTTTTCATGCACTGCAACAGCTGTCTATGACTCTTCCTCACTGTCAGAGGTATCAGGGCCTGCGTCATCTGAGCAGGGAAGGTGAGACCCGCAAAGCAAGGCAGAGCCAGAATCTGGCTCAGAATCCTCCTCTGAGGAAGGAGGAGGCGCTTTCTACTCGCCTTGTGCCCAAACGCTACCTGAACCCAGGAAACAAATAATTCCTGGACCGCCGACAGAGCATCCAAGGGGATAGAGGACCCAGAGGGACTAGCAGCTGCCATGGAGGGGGGAGGGGGGGGTCTGGAAGTTGGGCACCTGCTTCAAACGCTATGGGAGGATCCTACACTCGACCAAGCACCACTATGGCATACATCGATGAGGGAGGAAAGGAAACACCCCTTAGTGCTACCGCAGATCAGGAGGGGACCACAGAAGGACTCACCATCTCCGACCAGGAAAGCTGAGGAGCAGTGCTGTGCACTGTCCGTCCATCCACCAGGCGAGCCCCACATGTAGCAGAGTGCGCTGGGCTGTTCCAGACCACTGGAAGAAATTGCCCCACCCACCCAGAAGTCCCGCCCATGAGGATTGCAAGAGGTTGCCAGCGGACTACAGGAAAATGGCCACTGCCTGGAGTCCGACCCCCACCAACAAAATGGCGCCTGATTGCAGCCAAGAGGGGAGTTGGCACTTAACAGCACATGGTGGCCACGGTGAGTACCCTGCCAAGCAGAGAAACTGACCGAGAGGGGGGCTGACCCCAAATAGCCAGGGATAGACAAGGTAAGCCAGCCTGGGAAGGAGCTGCTAAATGAGCCAAGCACCAGAGGGGAGGGGACCCCACAGACCTGACCACCTCAGGGGGTACCTGTGGCCCACACCAAGCCCTACGAGGGGGGAAGGAGGTATGTACTTACCAATCCAGCAGATGTGGGTAACACACCCGAGACAGATCTGCCTCCCACCGAGGTGGGGGGGCTCTTTGTCATGGTGACACTGATGTCAGGTGCCTGGTCATATGTGTCCCTGCAAGACATTCAACCCGGTCCAGAATGGGTATTGTCATGGCCGACCCAGTACTGAGTTAAGGTCTGTGCACACTTGGTGGCCAGGCTGGGGAGACGAGGATCTATATTATCCAGCCTGTCTCCCAGCCCAGCAGTTGATTGAAGATCTCTGCTGAAAGGAGAGGAAAAAACAAAAGAGAGGGTAAAGGAAAAAATCCACAGAACCACAGGTCCCAGCAGGGAGCCAGGTCCTTACTCCTATACTAGACAGAAAAAAAACTGAGCTGCCTATCGCAGAGTGGGGGGGGGGGGGGGGGTTACTACCAGTTGGAACTGCTCATAGGTGGTGCTGTGCCTGTTCTTTTTTCTGTCTAGTCCTACTCCTGAATGTGGTGATATAATCCTATGGTCAAGATTTTGAAGGCTGTGTCCGTCAATGAATGTTGTAAAGTACCCTCGGTGCGGGAGTCAAGCATCACGTTCACTTTTAAGATATTTCATCAGGGAAGGTTCAGCAGGGATATGTGTACCCCGCCCAGAGTAACAGGAAATTAGGCCAAAGAGACCTCATATGTTCGTCTAGAGCAGGAGTCCTCAAACTACGGCCCGTGGGCCATATGCGGCCCGTCGAGGCCATTTATTCGGCCCGCCGGCAGGGGCGTATTTGCCGCGAGGAAGGGACACTAACTACATGGGCGGGCAGGGGGCTGCTATATCTTACCTGGCTCCGGTCCCAGTCCCATGACAATCCAGTCCAGGAAGCGCTGCTCCTTCATTCACTCCGGCCACTCCCTCACTCGATGTTCGGGCTGCCACTCAGCTCCGCCTCCTTACTGGTGATTGGGCGCCAGAACTGTAGCTCAGGAAAGGCACACAGGTGGCCAATCACCTGCAAGGAGGCGGAGCCGAGCGGCCCCACGAACATCGAGTGAGGGAAAGGCCAGAGTGAAGAAGGACAGCTGACAGGTAAGTGTGCCGTGCAGATGGTGCTGCTGCAACCAGGTACAGTGGGGCAAAAAAGTATTTAGTCAGACACCAATTGTGCAAGTTCTCCCACTTAAAAAGATGAGAGAGGCCTGTAATTGGCATCATAGGTAGACCTCAACTATGAGAGACAAAATGAGAAAAAAAATCCGGACAATCACATTGGCTGATTTGGAAAGAATTTATTTGCAAATTATGGTGGAAAATAAGTATTTGGTCAATATCAAAAGTTCATCTCAATACTTTGTTATATATCCTTTGTTGGCAATGACAGAGGTCAAATGTTTCCTGTAAGTCTTCACAAGGTTGGCACACACTGTTGCTGGTATGTTGGCCCATTCCTCCATGCAGATCTCCTCTAGAGCAGTGATGTTTTGGGGCTGTCGCTGGGCAACACAGACTTTCAACTCCCTCCAAAGGTTTTCTATGGGGTTGAGATCTGGAGACTGGCTAGGCCACTCCAGGACCTTGAAATGCTTCTTACGAAGCCACTCCTTTGTTGCCCGGGTGGTATGTTTGGGGTCATTGTCATGTTGGAATACCCAGCCACGTTTCATCTTCAATGCCCTTGCTGATGGAAGGAGGTTTGCACTCAAAATCTCATGATACATGGCCTCATTCATTCTGTCCTGTACATGGATCGGTCGTCCTGGTCCCTTTGTGGAGAAACAGCCCCAAAACATGATGTTGCCACCCCCATGCTTCACAGTAGGTATGGTGTTCTTTGGATGCAACTCAGCATTCTCTCTGTGTTTCTATCAAACAGTTCTATTTTGGTTTCATCTGACCATATGACATTCTCCCAATCCTCTTCTGGATCATCCAAATGCTCTCTAGCAAACTTCAGACGGGCCCGGACATGTACTGGCTTAAGCAGGGGGACACGTCTGGCACTGCAGGATCTGAGTCCCTGGTGGCGTAGTGTGTTACTGATGGTAGCCTTTGTTACGACGGTCCCAGCTCTCTGCAGGTCATTCACTAGGTCCCCCGTGTGGCCCTGGGATTTTTGCTCACCGTTCTTGTGATCATTTTGACCCCACGGGGTGAGATCTTGCGTGGAGCCCCAGATCGAGGGAGATTATCAGTGGTCTTGTATGTCTTCCATTTTCTAATTATTGCTCCCACAGTTGATTTGTTCACATCAAGCTGCTTGCCTATTGCAGATTCAGTCTTCCCAGCCTAGTGCAGATCTACAATTTTGTTTCTGGTGTCCTTCAACAGCTCTTTGATCTTCACCATAGTGGAGTTTGGAGTGTGACTGTTTGAACTTGTTATCAGTATTAAAGACACCTGTCCACAACCTCAAACAGGTGCTATTGATACAGGTAATGAGTGCAGGACAGAGGAGCCTCTTAAAGAAGAACGTACAGGTCTGTGAGAGCCAGATATCTTGCTTGTTTGTAGGTGACCGAATACTTATTTTCCACCATAATTTGCAAATAAATTCTTTCCAAATCAGCCAATGTGATTGTCTGGATTTTTGTTTCTCATTTTTGTCTCTCATAGTTGAGGTCTAACTATGATGCCAATTACAGGCCTCTCTCATCTTTTTAAGTGGGAGAATTTTCACAATTGGTGTCTGAATAAATACTTTTTTGCCCCACTGTATGCTGGCTGCAGCAGCACCATGCTGGAGCAGGGGTCAGCAAGTTAAGTGTCATTGGTGTCAGTGGGAGGAATAGTGCCCCATCATTGGTGTCACTGATACTAATGATGGGGCATTATTCCTTCCACTGACACCAATGATGGGGCACTATTCCTCCCCCCCACTGACACCAATGATGGGGCACTATTCCACCCCCCACTGACACCAATGATGGGGTACTATTCCTCCCACTGACACCAATGACGGGACACTATCCCCCCCCATTGACACCAATGACGGGGTACTATTCCCTCCCCATTGACACCAATGATGGGGCACTATTCTTCCCACTGACACCAATAATGGGGCACTATTCTCCCACTGCCACCAATGATGGGACACTATTCCTCCCACTGACACCAATGATGGGACACTATCCCCTTCCCCCACTGACACTAACGATGGGGCACTATTCCTCCCCCCACTGACACTAATGATGGGGCACTATTCCTCCCACTGACATCAATAATGGGCACGATTCTTCCCACTGACACCAATGATGGGGCACTATTCCTCCCACTGACACCAATGATGGGGCACGATTCTTCCCACTGACACCAATGATGGGGCACTATTCCTCCCACTGACACCTATGATGAGGCACTATTTCGCTCCATAAGACACACTTGGGGGGGGAAATGTCTGTGCTTCTTATGGAGCGGCTGGCCCAGTATTCCCGCCGCTGTTGTCTGTCTGCAGTCTCTGGTCATCTCTTGTACTGTGTCCGCATTTGTTCATAGTTTTTTTTTTTTTTTTAAACTATAGTCCAGCCCTCCAACAGTCTGAGGGACAGTGAACTGGCCCCGTTTAAAAAGTTTGAGGACCCCTGGTCTAGAGCAATGGTTCGTCTAGAGCAACCTTCCTAATGCTGTGACCCTTTAATACAGTTCCTCATGTTGTGGTGACCCTCAACCATAAAATTATTTTCCTTGCTACTTCATAACTGTAATTTTGCAGTGGGAGGAGTAGTGCCACATCATTGGTGTCAGTGGAAGGAGTAGTGCCACATCACTGATGTCAGTGGGAGGAATAGTGCCCCATCGTTGGTGTCAGTGGGGGAAGGGCATAGTGTCCCATCATTGGTGTCAGTGGGAGGAATAGTGTCCCATCGTTGGTATCAGTGGGAAGAATAGCGCCCCATCATTGGTGTCAATGTGGGGGGGAGGAATAGTGCCCCATCATTGGTGTCAGTGGGGGGGAGGAATAGTGCCCCATCCTTGGTGTCAGTGGGGGAATAGTGCCCCATCGTTGGTGTCAGTGGAAAGGAAATAGTGCCCCATCATTGGTGTCAGTGGAGGGGAAATCGTGCCCCCATCATTGGTGTCAGTGGGAGGAATTGTGCCCCATCATTGGTATTAGTGACACCCATGATGGGGCACTATTCCTCCCACTGACACCAATGATACTTACCTTGCTGACCCGTTCCAGCCTGGGCTCACTCCCTCCCTCTCCCATCTACAGTCAGCATACCTGGCTGCAGCAGCACTCTCTGCACGGTACAGACACTTACCGGTCAGCTGTCTTCCTTCTCCGGCCGATCCCTTACTCGATTTTCGCGCTGCCGCTCGGCTCCTCCTCTCCAAGCTCCACCTTCTAGCCGGTGATTGGCCGCCTGTGTGCCTCTCCTGAGCTACAGTTCTGGTGGCCAATCTCTAGCGAGGAGGCAGAGCTGTTGAGTGATCCCAGGGGTGTGGCCAGATGACAGGGGAGGCATGTCATCCTGCCCACACATCGCAGTCCAGGGAAATGTGGGCGTATCTGCATGTGGGCAGACCCGCCTGGAGACGGATAGAGGAGGTGTCTCGGTTCCTAAGACCATCGGAAATATGTGTTTCCCGATGGTCTTAGGCCACCCCTGTGAAAGGGTTGTTCGACCCCAAAGGGGTCGCGACCCACAGGTTGAGAACTGCTGGTCTAGGGACGCATTCAAAGCTTTGGATTTTTTGCAGGTTTACCTTACGGTGTGCCATATGTGTAAAGGTTCCCATGGAAGGGACGGGAGTGAAATTATTGGGTTAAGTGATGTGCCAAGATCATTTTTAGCATGTACAGGAAATACCCATTTTAACAAAATGCAGTCTTTCTGACTTTGTGAGATAAACTGGAAACACGGGGAACTTTCACATAATGCAGGCCATAGACGGGTCGTTTATCGGCAGAATTTTCGTCCGCACGAAAAATCGGCCGATATTCACGCCGTTAGTAGGACCAGCCCGTTGGCTGTTTTTCGGGGATCTTCTCGTTTATTTTTATCAGTCATGCTGGAAAATCCATGTAAAACAGCTGTTTTTCGTGGACATTGGTGGCAGCATCGGCAACGGGGCTGACCGATTTTTCGTTTATCGGCCGACAATTCGGCCAATAAACAACCAGTCTATGGCCTGCATTAGTATTCAGTCTGGATGTGTCTCTCAGTTTTTAGTCATAGCTTGACTGAGTCACAATGTAGGTCTATAGGTAGGTGTATGGATGGATGTAAAAAGACATACATCCATTTACATCCACTAATACCCGTTTATGTCTGTAGAAAAAAAACAAAACAGAATAAGGTCTGCATGCTTTTGTTGTGGACATAAACTGAACAGAAGGCAGATATGCAAACTGAACAATTATGCTTTTGTGAAAGGACCCTAACACAATATTTTCTGTCAACAGCTAATCTTCACATGTGATTGTCCGTGTAATGAAGATGAACAAAGGTAGACCTCTTTGAAATGTAGTCTTGGTGGCAGCTTTGACTCTCTTCATAAATATAGAGGGATGTAGTCACCCAGTGATTGGAGGATTCATTTTTGCTGTAGGGATGTGGTGTCAAATAAAAAACCTTCCTAACACATACTAGTGGGGCACAATCTTTAGTTGCAGGATTACCACGTGTATGTTGACCAGAAAGGCAAAAACCCTCATATGACTGCAAAGGACCTGCAGAAAGATATTCCCCCATTTTATTTTCCACACAAAATACTCTTTTATTCTTTATTTTAATTTTGTGAATTTTTACAGTATATAATGCCATCAGTTATTTGTGCAGTTTATTATTGCGGGCATGTAGTGGTGTATCACCATAACAACCTGTCAACAAGCGGTCTCTATAAATGTACTATATACTATTCACCTAACTCCATCCCTGATGAAGCCACGTGACCAGTGACACAATGCATCAGATGGAGCCGGGTAACATCACTTCTGGGTCTTGGCTGGGACTAGAAGTCAGTGACAATACCGCAGATTGTTTTTACAATACCTAAAGCTCATACACTCATTGCATTGGTGCTTTTTATAATATGTGAGTGGAATTTTAATACAATAAATTATGGTTTTTAAGTCAGTTTACAGTATGGGAGATTATTTTCCATTTCCATGAACACTATGTGAGGCATTCTGTGGGAAGCAGGAGGGTGTGACTGAAGAGCTGGGAAGTGGAAAAAAGACCCTACAGGGAGTTATTACCAAGCGCCCTGCAGACCTATATGAGAAATATACAGCAGGTAAAACACGTTGAACATTTTTCTCAGTAAATATATTTCTAAAGGTGCTATTGACATGAAATTGTCACCACGTCGGTAGCAACCCATGCAATACAGACAAAGAAACCAAAACAAACAAGTTCAAAAATTAAATTATATGTAATACATTTTTTCCCTGTCATAACACAGGGAAAAAATGCTGAACAAGCAAACTGAAATTTAATACTTCGTATACAATTCTTTGTTGCTAATGACGCCTTCAAGACACCTCCTCTATAGAGAGACTAGTCGTTTGCATTGCTCAGATGTGATTTTGGTCCATTCTTCCACACAGTCTTCAAATCTTGAAGATTGCGTGGGCCTCTTCTATGAACTCTGAGCTTTAGTTCTTTCCATAGATTTTCTATTGGATTCAAGTCAGGCGATTAGCTGGGCCAGTCTAGCAGCCTTATTTTCTTTCTTTGAAACCAATTGACTGTTTCCTTGGCTTTGAGTTTGGGATTGTTGTCTTGCTGAAATGTCCACCGTCGTTTCATCTTCAACCTGGTCATCCATGGCAGCAGATTTTTAACAAGAATTTCTTGGTACATTCATCCGTCCTTCAATGAATTGACATTTGCCAATACCATATGCTGAAAAAAACAGCCCCACACCATTATTATTATACAGGATTTATATAGCGCCAACAGTTTGCTCAGTGCTGTATATTATAATGGGAGACAGTACAGTAACAATACAATTCAATACACGAGGGGTTTAAGGGCCCTGCTCCTTGGAGCTTACAATCTAGGAGGGAGGGGATAGTGGTACAGGAGGAAATAGCTGTGGGGGATGGAGTGGTAGGAAGAGTGGAGGAGATTGGCAATTAGCTGAGGGCGGGGTATGCTTCCCTGAAGAGATGGGTTTTCAGGGTGCGTCTAAAGGTGAGGAGAGTAGGTGATAGTCTGATGGATTAGGGTAGGGAGTTCCAGAGGATGGGGGAAGCCCTGGAGAAGGGCATGGGAGGAGACCAGGGAACTAGAGAGTAGGAGGTCTTGTGAGGAGCGGAGAGTACGTTATGGGTATGATGTTCCCACCTCCAGACATCACTGGGGTTGTATGGGGCTTTTGGGGTGATGTGCAGTGTCATTTGACCTCTAAACATGGAAACATGGTATGTATTATGATATCCAAAGAGTTAAAGTTTGGTCTCATCTGACCAGACTATATTCTCCCAGTATTTCACAGGCTTCTATGAATGTTGTGCAGGAAACTTTAAACGAGCTTCAACATGCGTCTTCTTCAACAATGGAGTCTTGCGTGGTGAGCATGCATACAGGCCATGGCGGTTGAGTACATTACTTATTGTTTTCTTTGAAATTATTGTACCTGCCAATTCCAGGTTTTTCTGAAGCTCTCCAAAAGCTGTGCTTGGCTCTTTGACAAATCTGATAATTATTTTCACTCCTGTCAGAAATCTTGAAGAACATGGCTCCACAGAAGTTTATAAATTCTTCAATAACCAATGCCATCAGTATGTTTTTCAACAATAAGGTTGCAAAGGTCTAGAGAGCTCTTTGCTTTTACCCATCATGAAATGCGACACTTTGGTTACATAGTTAGTCTGGCTGAAAAAAAGACAACAGTCCATCCAGTTCAACCATAGAGAAAAAAAAGTTGCAATCCTATACCCACAGTTGACCCAGAGGAAGGCAAAAAAAAAACAAAAACCCCCAAAGCAAAGCACAATCCAATTTGCTCCTGCAGGGAAAAAATTCCTTCCTGATCCCCCAAGAGGCAATCAGATATTCCCTGGATCAACTATACCTATAAATGTTAGTATCCAGTTATATTGTGTATCTAAGAAAATCCACTGGGCTGGCCAGAACCAACTCTTGAGGGAGTCTATTCCACATTTTCACAGCTCTCACTGTGAAGAAACCTTTCCGTGTTTGGAGATTAAATTTATTTTCCTCCAGATGTAAAGAGTGCCCCCTTGTCCTCTGTGATGACCTCAGGGTGAATAGCTCTATATCAAGTTCACTATATGAACCACTGATGTATTTATACATGTTGATCATATCCCCCTTAATCTCTTCTCAAGAGAGAATTCAGTTCCTCTAATCTTTCCTCATAGTTGATCTCCTCCATGCCTCCTGTGGTAATGAGATACCTTTTTATAGGGCATCAGTCGAGACTGAACCAGCTGATACTAATTTGGACTGACAAGGGGCAGGATAGCTTTCTAATTACTGATAGATTTCAACTGGTGTCTTGGCTTTCCATGCCTTTTTGCACCTCTCTTTCTTCATGTGTTAAATACTTTTTTCCTTGTGTTATTCCATTTTATTACACATAACCTAATTTCTGAACCTATTTTTTTTTTTTTTTTGTATGTGTGGATTGCATGGGCTTTTACCAACATGTGGTGAAAATTTCAAGTCAATAGCACCAATAGAAATATATTTACCAAGAAAAATGGTGATGTGTTCAATACTTATTTTACCTGCTGTAGGTCTGAAATTAAGGTGAGCGTTCATGGCACATGGTGTGTGGAGCACATGTAGGAGCACTTTATTTAAAAGGCACTTATCAAGGTGGAGTGTACAATTTATGTGTCAGTAATAAAATCATCTGACAGTGTGGAAATCACTTTTTATGGACACCATCTAGTATATGAACTTTAGTGTTGATATTTATGTATAATTTGTAGCACTATAATGTTGGGATAAATACCCAGTAGTGTATATGTGATTTACTTTTTTTTTTTTTAGACTATATAATTTTTTTTTCTATACTTTTCATTTGCTATATTTACAGCTCTAAGAAAGTGGGTTTACTATCCAGTAGGGCACAGGTGTCAAACACAATCCGGCCCTCCAAGCCAT